TATTATTATTATTATTATTATTATAACCTCAGGAGAAAGCAATGGCAAATCACCTCTGAACAAATCTTGCCAAGAACTTGCTGTAAGTTGAAAGTGACAACAACCTGCATCTGAAGAAGTGGGTTTACATCCTCAAAAGCTCATGCTAAAATATTTTTTAAAAAGCAGTCTTAAAAGTGCTACCACATTCCTTCCCCCCTCCCACTCCCTTCATCCTTTTTAGTCTGCAAGAGACTAACATGGCTACTTCTTTGAATATAATCCATCTATGTTTTCTTTTTTAAAAATTCAGGTTTGTGCAGAAAAACAGCGCTTTGAGAAGCTGATGGAACATTTTCGAAATGAAGATAACAATATAGATTTCATGGTAAGTGTCAGCATATTACCTTATGAGTTGGCTTTGTCTCTCTGTCTCTCTTTTAAAGTCCATATGCTTCTTTTGATCATTTTTAATTTTTTCTTTTAAATGTATGTTCTACTCAAGAGCTTGAGGGAAAATACTTTTTGACTACAGGTCACAGAATACTCTGGGCAGTAATTCCAGTGACCATGTTGATTTGGGATTATGAAAATTGTAATCCAAAAAGGAACTTTTCAAACATCTGATTTTATTTACTGTGTATACTTGATTATAAGACAACCTTGTTTATAAGTTGAAGATGGGTTTTGGGGGCCAAAATTAAGAATTCTGAGATAATACATGGATAAACTGAGGGTAAAACCTAGAGGCATGTAACAAAGGATGTAAAGGGCAAAGCAAAGGAAATAATGCCAAAGATTTTACAATACTCCAGCAGGCATAACTGTTTGTGCTCACCCTAATGGCTAGATGTATAAGGAAGGAACTATGGTAAATGGTGGCTGTGTGATGTGTGGAGAAGGTGACTAGACAGAGGTGGGGCTAAGAAAACTCATATGGGGGGGAGGTTATTGAGGTCAATTGTATTTGGGTCTGTTCTTAACTGTTAGCCGCCCCAATTGTTCTCAGGCGGGCGGGATACAAATTATTATTATTATTATTATTATTATTATTATTAT